ACCCCCCCCCCCCCCCCACAATGAGAACTTCAGGCCTTCAGTCCTCCACAGTTTCCTTGGCTCAGTCCCAAACTGTCCCTTCAAAGGATCAACCCTAAGCCGTAAATCCTAAATCTGAAGCGTCAAGCCATGTCGGCCTAAGTCCTAAGCCCGAATCCTACACCCTAACCCTATCCCTACCCAAAGGCCCCAGAGTAGTTCCTTTTTGTGGCTTATATTTAGGATCGCAATCCCAAAAAGGAACTAGCAGGGGGCCTGTGGGTAACCTAGACCTTGTGCCCTAAACCTGGGCAACCGCGAAGACGTCAGCTGCAAGAGAAGTGCATTAAACGGCCCAGGAATTCCCTTCAGCGTTTGGGGTTGCGGCTGTCAACAGGGTGTCCGGGAATCCCTGCACCGAGTAGCTACATTGGCGTCAAATTGCTGGGTGCATGGCCGCTCAGTCATCTCCGTTCGGGTTGGCCTCTGGGCAACCTCAGGGTGTGAGGTTTAGAATATATTGGCAGGCCAATCCTTCGGAAGCCCACTTCGACATCGACGCCTAATGCTTTACACCCAACCCCGGTTGCAAGCTGCCACCCTTTATGGTGTTTGCGTGACTCTGCCCATGTCGTGCGCAGCATTCCCTGAATCCCCAAGCCTTCGGATTGTATTTACGGTCTCAATGCCTTCCAAGTACAACCCCCCTAAACCCTAAATCCCCCAAAGCGGTAAACCCCTAAACCCTAAACCCTTAAACCCCTAAAACCCTAAACCCTAAACCCCTAAACCCTAAACCCCTAAACCCCTAAACCCCTAAACCCCTAAACCCTAAACCAACCAACCAACCAACCTGAACTGCAGGAGTGGTGTTTATTGTCTCACAACTTCCTGGCGTTTTTCCCCTCACGTGCTGACTTCGCCGTGCGACGGTGCCTTCTCGTGGCGGCGATTCAGGCGGGTTGAACGTTCCGCAGGGAGTTTGTCGAGCTCATAAGTCTAAAGGCTTCAGGATTGGGGTTGAAGGTTCAACAGTTGCAAGGCCTGTAGGACGATTGACTAAAGGTTTGCATCGTTGTCCACCTCTCCGAGACCAGTTTCCCGAATCATTCGGCCCTGCTAAGGAGCTTCGAATGCAGCCAGATGGCCGGACCTTGCGCTTATCCCTCGCAGGTGAGAGCAAGGAGGACCATTTGTTATCAAAGCAGTTTCTGCTTTTGTCTCAAGTAGCATTGATGGCAGATGAAACTGGTTGCAATGCTTTTCACAACTTTCGAGATTGTGATGAGGAAATTCGCCAATGCTCCATCTTGCTTTCTGCATGTCTTAGATCCCTTGTTCCGACTTACACTACGACTTTTCGAATCCGAGCCTACGACCTTCAAACTCTACAGGGCTCCGAGCCTCAGAGTAATGACTCTTGTGTTCCTGGAGGTTCCTGTGAAACCATGTGTTTACATTCGTGCTTAATGAGGTACCTTATGCCAGGCCTTCTTGTGGTCCCTACTCTCCTGAGGAGCTTGTGCTGCGCACGCCTTCAGAGAGCATCGAGACCTGGGCCGTCGAAATCGGGTGCAGCCGACGATTTCTCCCTCTCCTGTCTCTCTTGCTCTATATATGCACTGTGTTTGCACGCGCCTGTATGTATGGATGTATGTAAGTAAGTGTGTACGCACGCATGTATGTAAGTATGTATGTATCTGTGTACGCATGTATGTGTGTGTGTGTGAACGTGTATGCATGTGTGCATGTATGTATGTGTGTGTGTGTATGTGTGTATGCATGTGCGAAGGCATGTCTGTCTGTCTGCCTGCCTGCCTGCCTGCCTGCCTGCCTGTCGGTCTGCACGTATGTATGTATGTATGTATGTATGTATGTATGTATGTATGTATGCATGTATGTATGTATGTATGTATGTATGTATGTATGTGCAGGCATGTATGTACGGCTATGTGCGATTATGTCTGCATGTGAATATACATACATATATATATACACCTGTATGTACGTGTGTGTATATGTATATTCATATGTATGTTTGTATGTGTGTATGTATGTGTGTATGTATGTATGTATGTATGTATGTATGTATGTATGTATGTATGTGTGTATGTATGTATGTATAAAAAGGCATATATATATATATACACACGTATAATCATAATTATATATATATATATATATGATTTATGTATATGTGTGCTTGCGAACATGTGTATGTACACGCTTAGGAGTAGTGTTTTAAAGGAGTAACTATGCAGTACGTACTAGTTTTATACGTAGCAAACAGGAGGTAAGAAGTACGTAGTAGTAAGTTGTATTCAGGAAGTCGCAAGCTGTGCGTACATAGTGTGTAGACAGTGTAGAAGTAGTAAGCAGCAGGTAGTCAGTAGTATGTAGTAATCAGCGAGAAATGTTTCAATAAGTTGTCAGCAGCAAGTAATGAGTGACTAGTCAGTAGTCAGCAGCCAGCATGCATCAGCCAGTCGACACTATTGAGTAGAAGCAGCAGTGGTAGTGCCAGCAGTCGTCGTCGTCGTCGTAGTAGTAGTAGTAGTAGCAGCACCAGTAGCAGTAGCAGTAGTAGTGGTAGTAGCAGTGGTCGTGGTCGTGTTAGTGGTAGTGGTCGTGGTAGCGGCGTTGGTGTTACTAGTCGTTGTCGTGCCGTCTTGGTCGTAGTAGTCGTCGCATAGCCGCAGCCGTAGCTGCAGTCGCAGTCGCCGTCGCATAACATCGCAGTCATGGCTGTCGTCGCAATAGTGGGAGCAGGGTTGAAGAGTAGGAGATTCCCTGCGAAGGCGGCGAATGGACAGGCTGAGTGCTCACGGACATCATCTCATCCCGTGTGACTCGCTGAGCATTGCTTGTAAGACTGTTCGGTATTAAGGAAGCCAAGCCTGCCCAGGCTGTGTTGTAGACTGCGGCCGCGGCAAGACTTATGCTATACATGTAATTGCCCTCCAGTTCTCTCTCGTTGTTGTTTCTCTCTCTCGATCGCTTTCTCTCTCTCTCTCTCCCCGTCTCTCTCTTTCTATCTCTCTCTCTCTCTCTCTCGCTCGCTCTCTGACTCTCTCCCTCCCTCACACCCCAGCCTGAAACCAGACAGAAATCGACCGTGTAGTTTCGAGTCGTTTGGCCTTACGGCCATAAAACCCTAACCCTTAAGCCGAAGCCTAAGGTGTCAGCTTTGCCGATGCAAAGCATTGGACCCAGGACGCAGACGCTCGAATTCTCAACCTGAGCTCCAACACAGGGGCCTTAATAACTAGAGGATACTAGTGGGTTCTATTGTACGAATTAACTTTTTGGGGACTGGAAGGGAATGCTTTTGCCAATGATCCAACCATGAACTTTACGGCGAACACCTGAGCTTCTCGCCAGAGTCGTTTCTGTTTCCTGCGGGGCCAAGAAGCCCCATATCTTCGACCGTAAGCAGGAGGCTAAGGATACAACGAAAGCACAACTCCAGAATTGCGGGGCCTGAATAAGTCCTCATATTATCCCTATAGAAGTGTGCTAAGCATATGAGTGTGTGTGTGTGTGCGCTCATGTACTTTTATGCATACATATATATATATATACACATACTCCATACATGTATATATATATATATTATGATATATATATATATACATACATTCCTACATACATATATATATATATATATATATATATTTGGTATCCCCCCCCCAAAGATCTACCCGATTCTGTTTGTTTTGAGCTCTTCGTGTGCAATCCCTGCCT